ACGATAATAAATAATTTAATTTTGTTTTCATATTGACCCAATCGAAAAAAATCTTAAATCGTTTGTCTAATATATATAATTTAATTGAAATTAAATGTACATTTACTTTGACTATATTAAAAATAATCGAATCCATATTTGACGAGAAAAAAAACATCAGATCTACTTCCATCATTCGGTCTTAAGAATTATGTTTTCTGAAAAGAGTAGTTCGAATAGAAACTCGAAAAAATATTTTTAAATATATTCAATCAAACGATTTAAGAATTAATAGTAGAAAAAAATAAACATTTATCAAATTATTATCGTTCTATATTTTTAATTATCAATGTTTTTTTTTTGATATTAAATCGAATGTGTATAAATAATAAAATAAAAGTTATTATTTAATTTGATTTAATGATCAATCATTCATGTTTGCTTTGCTTTGCTTTTTTTGTATAATTGTTGCTTGTGTATCGCTCGAATGCTTAATATTTAGTATTGTTCATATATGAATACTGATTATCATTGGTGCAATTGGTGTCATTGGTTTTGGAATTCTATTTCACCAACAAAGGTAGATTTGTTGCATGGCTCAACGAAAAAAAAAAAGACCCATATATATTCCAAATCATTCATTAGACGTTTTAATTTTTTTTTTGTTTAATTTCGAATTTAAATAAACAAAATTTTAATATATATATTATTTTATTAGAGTATTTATTTGGAAGTAAAACCAGCAGTTAAAAATCAAATTGTTCGAGAACTTAAAGTAAATTTTTTTTATAAAATTGAAAAATTGAATATTATATTTAAAAAACAAAAAGGTTCTTCATCAATGCAATTCACCATATATTGTCGGATTTTATGGAACATTTGCATCTGAAGGTCAAATTAATATTTGTATGGAATATATGGTAAATATAAATTAAGTTTTCTTTTTTATTACATTTCAAAATCGATTAATTATCTTTAAAATAGAAGAGACAATATAGTTAGACTAATATCAAACACTTTCGAATTGAAAGATTTATCAATTTTGAATTTATTTATTCTTTTTGTTCAGGATGGTGGTTCATTAGATTTAATATTAAAAAAAGTAATGCGTATTCCAGAACATATTCTTGGTAAAATAACTGTTGCTGTAAGTTTTTTTTTTTAAATAAAAATAATAGAAAAAAAAAAATATATTGTTTTAAAGGTTCTTCGTGGTTTAAGTTATTTAAGAGAACGACATCGTATTATGCATAGAGGTATTATTTATTATTCTTTTTTGTTGTTGTTATTGTTTATAATAATTAATTTAGATATAAAACCATCAAATATTCTTGTTAATCATCAAGGTTAATTTTTAAAAAAAGAAAAGAAAAAATTAATTAATTAATTTAATATTAAATAGGTGAAATAAAATTATGTGATTTTGGTGTTAGTGCACAATTAATTGATTCAACATTACAAACATTTATTGGTACTCGTTCTTATATGTCTGTAAGTATTTTATATTATTTCAAATTTTAAATTTTATTTTTTGTTTAAAATAAAAGCCTGAAAGACTTGAAGGTGCACATTATGGAATAATGAGTGATATATGGTCATTAGGTCTTTCACTTGTTGAAATGGCTCTTGGTCGTTATCCAATTCCACCACCATCAACTAAAGATATTGATGATTTATTTAAACAAGATCCAAATGGAAATCGACCTCGACCAGAAGGTAGTTCATTTTTAAAACAAACAAAAAATGAAAAACTTTTTTTTGGGAAAAATTTTTAGGATTTGGTTGTTATAAAGTTTTAGCAATATTTGAATTAATGGAATGGATTGTTAATGAAGCACCACCATCATTACCTCAAACACATTTTTCTCCTGAATTTTGTGATTTTATTGATCGTTGGTAAAAATTATTCTTTTTTTTTTTCATATTTCAATTTCTTTTTTAGTTTAAAGAAAAGTACAACAGAACGAGCTGATTTAAATACACTTTTAGTATGAAAAAAAAAAAATATTTTTTTTTAAATTTAATAAAAAAAATCTCTAAAATATTTAGCATCATCCATTTTATAAACGATATGAAAATGAAAGTGATAATCAAGATGTTTCATCATGGATTCGACAAGTATGTCATTTAGAACAAAATCAATTAAATGATAATAATTCTCGACGTTCGGGAGGAAATAAATGTTAATTAAAAAAAAAAAACAGAAAGATCAAGTCAGATTGAAAATGATCTCTTATTGACATAAAATAAATAATGAAAAAAAAAAAAAAAAAAACGTTAAATTAATATCATTAAACATAAATGTTGTTCGTCTATAATATCTTAACACATATTCGTTTTTTTTTTTTTTTTGTTTGTAAATTAAATTTATTTTGATGCATTAGTTTAAATCCGATGTGTTTTTTTTTTATTATGCAAACAGTGATTTATTTATGCGCTTTTTAATCATCTTAACATTGTCTGTTTTTTTTTTTTTTTATATTGTGCAATGATTATCATTATATTTTACAACAGATTTTAGACTTTTTCTTTTTGTGTTGTTGATTGAAGAGAAACGAACATTATTTATATGATACTCATTCCATTGCACTTCGTTCTTTTTATACTCTTGATTGTTGTCATTATATACAGAAGACAAAAAAAAAAATACAAATACATTTGATATCTTTTAAAGAAAATCTTATTTATTATTTAATTAAAGATAAATAAATAATGTCCGATAAAAAACAAGAAGATAAACAACCATTAGGAGCTGTACTTGGTTGGATTAATCTTTCTTCAACATTACCTAATAATCAAGATAATATTGATCAAACTATATCAGGTTTTTTTTTGTGTTTTTTAATTATTATTATTATTTTGTATTAATTTAGCTTCTCCTACAAGATTTATTGATTATAATCAATTAATTGAAGCAAATAGAAATGCACAAAATCTTCAACTTGCACATGAAATTGTTTTTAATAAAGATTTTCAACTTAAATTACCTGAATATGAAAAAGGAAGGTTAGAATTTTTTTTATCATCATAAGAGATTCGTTAAATTTTCTTTTCGTTATACTATTAAATCAAAAATATTCAAAAAGATTATTTGAGTAAAATTAATTTAGTATTGGTGAAAAAGTTCATGATACAATGCATACAGCATTTTGGGATATTCTAAAAGAAGATTTATCTGCTGATCCACCTCGTTATGAACATATTGTTAAATTAATTGGTGAAGCTAAAGAAGTTTGTTTTATTATAAATTTTTAAAAAATAAAAATCAAATTTTTTTTTTTAATGTTAATTTCTTAAGGATCTTAAAAGTTTAGTATTACCACATCAAATAACACTTAAAAATCAAATTGATGAATCAATTGATCTTGATACATTAAAACGTCGATTTGAAGCTAAATCAGCTGATCCACATGAATATACAAAATATTTTATTGATACAATGGCAAATCTTTGTGCTCAATGTCGAGATGAAAATATTGAAAAATTACGAACTATTCAAGATCCAACAGAATGTTTTAGGTTTTTATTTTAATTTAAAACCAAAAATATTCTTATTTTTTTTTTTTGGCATAGAAATATAATGGAAGTATTAAGTTTAATGAAAATTGATATGGCTAATTTTAATATTCGACAATATCGACCTTTATTACAACAACAAGCAATTGATTATGAAAAAACAACATTTAAGAAACTTATGGAAAGTCAACGAGGTTTGTTTTTTTTTTGTGTTTGATTATAAATAAATAAAAGAATTTTAATATTAGAAATGGGTATTGATCCATTAGCATCAACATATAAATGGCTTGAACGTGCTTATAATCGATTAAAAACAAATAATACAATTGGTTGGTATCAAATAACAACAAATACAAATCAATCTGAAAGTTCAATTATTATTCTTAATGAAGCATATTGTGAACTTTTATTATGGAATCCAAAAAATTCATTTCCTGAAGTTCGTTTGTTTTATTTTCTGATTATTAATTCTATTTTATTTTTTTGAATAGACATTAGAATTAGATGAAATACGTTATAATCAAGTACATATATCAACAATGCGTTTATTAATTATATCAACAATAATGATTGTATTATCACATATAACAGGTTCAATTTTACGTGATTATCAATCAATTAAAAATCTTCTTAAATCACAAATTATTATTTTATTAGATGATTTTCCAGAAAAAAAGTTTGCCGTTTTTTTAAATATATTTGAGATTTTAATTTATATATATTTCTAGAAAATTAAAAGATGTATTAATATCAATAAGTGAACAAGTTATTAAAACAACTCATGATGAATTAATTAAATATGATAAAGCAAATATAATTATTAATAATGAAATAAATATTAAAGATTCAATTAAAGCTATTGGTGAACATCATGTTATTGAACATGCTGTTTTTAAATTACTTTGTAAGTATTAAAAAAATTTTTTTTTTCGCTTTTTTCATTAGAATTCGACAAGATTATTACAAGTTTCGGGGGGGGGGGGGGGAGAACTCGATTTTGGAGGGCGCCGCGTTATTTTATTTATTTCTATTCTATTTAGTTCAACGTTATGTAGATTTTGTTCATAATGTAATGGATAATCCATCAATAAATCGATCATTATCAAATGTAGCAATACCAAATGGATTGAATATTGTTATGGATGAAGTTATATCAACAGTTAGTTTTTTTCTTCGTTTAATAACTTACAATAAAATGGTTTTTAATGAACATTATGATAGAATTATATCTGAATTAAAATCATCATCAGATGAATAAATAGTCTGACTTTTTTTTTTCTCTTTAAATGAGCATTTTCAATATTGTTCTTCTTAATTTGTTTATTTAATAATTAATTGTCAAAAGAACAAAAGGTCTGTTGTCTTTTTTTTTGTTTTATGTTATTAATCAAGAAATTCTAATAAAAAAAAAAGAAAAAGAAGAATTATTATATTGATTATTTTATTTAATAAACTGCGGACGGATAAATAATAAAATATAACAATATGTTATTATTATTAATTTATTATAGATAAAATACCAAGAATAGTGAAATAAATAAATAATATAAATAAATTGAATTTTTTTTTTTGATTGATTGATTATTAATATAATTTGTTTTTTCAAATATAATTTCTAAATAAATAAAAATAATATTTTTTTTTATTGAAAAAATAATTTTGAATAAAATAATACGTGTACGATTTGTTAATGATATTTGATTTGTATTAAAAATAAAAGTTGATGTAGAAATAATTGGTGTTGTTAATATTTGATGACGATCAATATTTGATGAATGATATTTTTCAATTATTTTTATTATTTGTTCATTTTCACCATGATGATTTATTGCACGACATATGATTTTTGAATTAAATAAACGTCTTGGAATATGCTTAACAAAAAAATAAATAAAATCAAAGTTTTGAATTTAGGCCTGAAACTTTGTCCACACCAAGGCCCCAATCAAACAAGCTTGCCTACAAAGTTTCGCAACTCTGGAATAGACTATCTCCGAGATACTAGTATGCTAGTATAAAGACGCTTTTTTATGGATATAATGTTTCACATAGATATTCTGGCAGATTCATATCTCGGAAATAGTCTATCCAAGAGTTCTGAAACTTTGTAGACGAGCTTGTCTGATTGGGGCCTTGATGTGGACAAAGTTTCAGGCCTAAATTCAAAACTTTGATTTTATCGAATAAGTAGGATCCTATTGAAAAATTATGGTAAATAGTCGATATCTCAGTTAAATCCCAACTTGGGCCCATATCCTTTTAGGCTTTTTCTAGTCTATACATCCTCTACTTGTGGGCAAAATTTCAGCTCAAAAGCTTTGTGACATCCCAGGTGGTTCCCTCGTCCGACTAGGAACGTTTGAATGGCATGAAATTTTCAGCTCTGTACCATGAAATTTGGCGGAGATATCGGCCAAACAAGGGTCAAAAAATAGCTAATTTTGTCTCCAGTGCTCTTCAGTCTATACATTTAATATTTTGTTTTTGTTTGTTTGAAAGAGCATATCAGAATGCAGTACCTATGAAAGCCCTTGTTTTTAAACTCTTACTTTTTATGAGATCAAAAGTTCAATGACTTAAAAAACTTTTTCAAAACTAACACTCTAATTATATAAAAGCAAAGCTTAATAAAAAAAAAAAACTATTGGCTACAATGAAGCTCCTTTGAGAAATCTTGGAGATGCGATCGAGAATTTATAAAATGAGAAAAATCAAAAACAGCTTGTTTTTCGAATAGAGGATGAAGGAAACCTTCAAAAATTTTTGTCGGGCTATCATTCCCTGTGTTAATTTTGACGAAAAGTGGCTTTTTTTGAGGCGAGGGAGGGACCCTTATATTTGCTGAGAGAATTATTTTTATGATATATTATTTTTCATATGGGATATAATGTCTATAAAATAGATTGCATCATATATATATATGAATGATTTTGTATAAGATATATTCTATAATTGATATTTGTTTTGAATTAGAACAAAACTATATTAACAATTTAATTATTTAAGTTTTAATGTGTTTTTTTTCATTAAAAATTCGAATTATATTAATCAAAAATTAATATTTAGTTGATCAAGTTAATTATTTGAATATAAATGATTAGTTTAATCGTTGTTCTTTTGATAGGGAAGTCTATTTTAGATAGTGTTACATAAGAAAGGTAGGGAAAAAAAAAGAAGAGAATTTGAAAGATAATAAATGAAGCATTTACTTTAATAAAAAGAGTTGTTTTCCATCTGGTTGCATTTAATTGTTCTTGTTTAATGTACCAAATATCATTATCTATTGTAAAATGGTTATGATCAAAATATTCTCGATAAAATAATTGAGATAAATCTTTATCATGATCAATATCATAAGAAGATTTATATAACCAACGTATATCTGCTTTTGGATTAGCATCAATTAAACATTCTAATATAAGTTTATCACCAATAAAATAAGAAGTTTTATTTGTTAATATTGAAACATTTGGTGGAACTAATTCATTAAATAAATATTTATTTATATTTATTTATTTATAAGAAAACTTACATTGTACATCAATTTGATAAAATCGTCCAATTGTTCCAAGAAAATTCTTAGCTAAACATTCATATATTCCATTATAATAATAATTAATATTAAAAAAATTTAATTGACATATATTTGATGTTATTGAACAATTCTTTAAAATTATTTGATTATTTTCTTAAAAAATAAAAATTCTTAGAAAAAAAAAAAAATAAAATAAAATACTAACCATCTATTCTTTTAATCCAATAAATAAATGGTTTTGGTTTTCCTTTTGCTTGACAAATAATTGAAATATTTTCACCAATATATGTTCGTATTATAGTTGAATATTCATGTATTATAAAATAAGGTCGTTCTTTAATTAAAAAAAAACGAAAAAAATAATTCATATAAAATTAATTTTCTTACCAACAATATTTAATGAAAATAATTTAATAATATTATTATCAATTTGACATGAATATGTTCCACTATCAGATAAACGTAAATCTTCAATAATCAATGAATATATTATTATATTATATGATGATGTATTATTTATCATATTAAATATTATTCGTTTTTCAATATAAAAACGTTCATCAGATATAATACGATTATTAGAATAATAAACAATTTCAGCATCTTCAATACGTAACCATAAAATCTTTAAATATTTATTTATTATTATTATTTATAAAATATAATAAATAAAAATTAATTTTACCTTTCGATTTTCATTTATTGTTAAATTATTTAATTCACATTCCATTCTTACTTTTTTACCCACATTAATATTTATATTATCTCGAGATATAAATGATTCGTCATTTATACTATTTGTTATTATTATATACAATACCATTAAAACTATTGTTGTCAATAGACAACGTTTTATCATTTGTTTTATTATTATCTATAATCAAACATCTAAAAAGAATTATATATTATGATAAAGCTAGAACAGCTTTTCTTATATATATATATATATTAATCAATATAATAGATTGTCTGGAAGCGAATTCTTTAAGAAGAAAGTAACGTTAATAATACTTCTATTAAAGCCTGTGGGTGTATATACATATGTATCGAAGGTAAGACATTTGTCTTGTTCATTTGTTTAAAGGTTAAATATGATGATATATAACATATGAATGAAAGTGTCTCATTGTGATTAGTTATTATTTTCCAATTAAATATTCTTCTCCACCCATTTCTCATCGATCATTGACAGTTAATCTAGATGTTGGCACGTGCATATACAAACATTACAAAAAAAAAAAAAAAAGCTATTTTATTGAGACACAGACTAATGAAGAAGAACAATCATTCATCTGTACCTATACTTTATGAAAAAAAAAAAAAAAAAATAGAGTTGCCTTCTGATACATTAACGATGAACCGTTCATCTGACACAAATACATTTACAAAAGAAAAAAAAAAAAAAAAAGGGAAAATTGACTTGTTTCTTCATTGAATGTATTTTCTAAAAGGTCATAAGAGAGTAATGGAAGCAGACATTTAATCATATAATTAGCTTATTCATACTGGTAGTCTATATTAATTAGACGTTCGTTCAAATAATGAATTGTAAATAGATGAATTCGAATGATAATACGTAAAGTTAATATATCATTACTAAAATATGACATGATATGATAATAGGTAACTCGTTTTCTTTTTTTATATCTATTGAATAACTTGACAAGCAAAATGTAATTGGCTAAATCAAAATCTAATGAATAATACTTTAAATAGATATTAATCCTTGAAAATCAATGATTATGTAAGCATTTTCTTCTATTAAATATATATTCATATTGACCTTTTTTTTTTTTTACTCATGCAATCATTTCTTAATATATCTACTTACTATTCAATGAATAAGAAAACCAAAAAAAAAACGAATATTTTTTCTTCTTAATATCAATTGAACATATATTTCGTCTTATAAGACAAGAAAAAAAAACGGTTCAAAAATATATAACACGATTAGTTTTTTATTATTTCCTATAATTGCATTCTTTTTAATAAAATGCTATATGATATTTTTTTTTGATTAATCATATCATAGAGATGTTGAAATACTCATTTTCTAATTTAGTCAAATAATAATAAGGAGTGATTCTCAATTCTATGTTTGACAGTTGCCTCGAGCATTGATTAGACACTTGAATGATAACGAGTTCATGTTAAGATTATTAGTGAGAATAAGAGCAAAAGAAAAAAGAATGCATCTATTGAATGGCTAATTACTCATATATGCTTGATCTTTTTTCTATATTTTTATTATCAATTTATACTGAACTATTTATTTAAATAAATAATATCAATCTCATATTAATTTATTGAATATAGATTGTCATCTTCAACTTTTTTTTTTTTGAATACTTTAAAGCAAAATGAAGATAATTAGAAAAGAAAAGAAAAAAAACTAAAATATAATGATCAATGATGTTCGAATATGAAAAAAGAAAACATAGTTAAATCATAAGAATAGATATGAATATCGAATAATTTCTATTGAATTGACCGAGTTCGAATATCGATTGTCTAGTCAATATTTCTACAAAGAACAAAACTAATAATCATCCCGACAGACACAACTGTTATATCGATTAATAGATTGGTTTTATGTCTGAACTTAATTTGAAAATAAAAGTAACATACCAAAAAAACAAACACTAAACTATAATCGAATTCTTTCTTCTGTTTTATCTCAAATAATCATTAAGAATTAACTCAATCTATTAAACATACTAAACAACCGACATTTGTTAGCATCATTTTTCTTTTTTTTGCATTCATACTATTTGTCTTCAACTACTTACAAAATCATTTCCAATGCACGTTTGAGAATATAAAACAAAACTATATACATATGAAAATCATACTGAAATATATTTTAATTTTAATATGAATAGCTTTTTTTTTCTTTCCTCTGAAATTCATTTTATATTATTTTCATTTAATAGAAATGTTTTTAGATTTTTAATCAAATAGAGTAGGATATTCGGATTTTATTATATGGTTGATGAGCTTTTATTTATTTATTTTTTTTTTGAATGGTAAACTTAAATAAGTGAAATCAAAAAGATGATCAGGTTATTTATATCAACATACTATGATATTTAATCATCTATAAAGAATGTCTAAGAAATGGTAGACGGAAAAGTCCATGTTAAATTAGATATTTCTCGATGAAGAAAGAGAAGGAATTAGACGAATATCAGCATTCGATTATAAATGACAATTTTTTTGTTTTGTTTTTGAATAATTTCATAGAAAACAAAAGATGGTTTATTTGATGATTATTAGATCGAGATTGATTTTCAAATTAATTTATTCTAAGAATAAATATATATATTGATAGATACATTTGATAAAAATCTAACTATTAATGAAAATTTCTGATTGTCATCAAGAATGAATTGATATTCTTCAAGAGTAAATATATTGATGATTAGAAGACATTTGTCTTTATTATTATTATTGTCGAATTTTAAAAAAGAAAAGTTTCAATATAATAGTTAATTTAGTTCTAGTTATCTTGATGAATTAGATTTTAATCAAATAAAATAATAATTGAATTGATAAATCATTAAAACTTAAAACCTAGTATGTAGTTTATTACGTGTTATGTCTGTAATAGATTAACAAATAATATAAAGTTTTCGACTTGTTGCACTTTATCGTATACTTGCAATGATATTCTTATAGTTGTTTGCCTTTCTTTTTTTTACTAAGTCGGTCTATTAATATATATATCTATATATATATTCTTATTCTGTAAGATGTATTTTCCCCAAAATTGAATAAGTAATATGTTCTCAGCATAGATTTTTTGTTTTCATCAAAGATTAAATAAATGAAAATCTTCTCAATGATATGTGTAATTGTTCTGTAAATGTATAAATATTTGATAAAATCTCGTATATTTTCTTTCAAGAAACATATCAATGAGTAAGAATTGGTTGAGTACATAAGCGACGAAAAAAAAGAAAACACTTAAGATACATAAGCAATTGCGCTTTAATAGTATAATGGTATGGTGACAATTGGTAATGATACTTCGTAGAATATATCAGATAAAAAGAAAAACGAGTCGTTACTTTATAGTTGTTTGTTGATTGACAAGTCAAAAAAAGGATTTTTTTTCTTCTTATTATTGTTATTTTTGCACATTGTCTCCTCTGTGTTGTATAGGATCTTTTTACAAAGATTTTTTTCTTATGTATATTTTTGTATAAGATTGACATTCGAAAATAAATATGTATCAATTTTCTATGATAGACTTCATTTATATTAATTAATATAAGTTGCTTTAGTAGATTGATGAGTTAGAAATATATATAAAGGTTTTTTTAATATTTACAATACTTAAGTCTGTTGAATTATTTAACTATTAAATAAAATAATATAGAAAATTCTATAGAAATTTGCTAATCTATTTCGTAGAATTCAAATAAATATATTATTCGAAATATAATTTAAATATTTAAAAGTCGAAATATGAATTTCTTTATCATTTATTTTTTTGATATAGAATTGAAAATAGTTATTTAAAACTTGTGTAGAAATCATTTTTTTTTTTTCTATATGAGAAAAAAAAGTAATCAATATAAATTGTTTTGATTTAATTTTAAACGGCATAAATAATATAAAAATCTTGAAATGATTATTAATCTTGTTGTTATAAAAAGAAGTGAACTTTGTTACAAATAATACTTCAAAACTTTTTCTTTTTTTTTTTTTTTTATTAAAAATGTAAGTGTTCTACTTAAAAAAAAAGTTCATGATGATTTAATAGAATTATTTGAGATTATGATTCAATAATAAATATTGAAATATTGAATATGTAAATTATCTGAATAATTATGATTAATCGAAGAATTCATTTTTTTTTTCTTGTTTATACTTACAATTAATTCTTTCTCAACGAATTTTCCATATAAATTTTGATCAATGTCATTTGATTTAAAATGTCTCTTGAGAAATATTCGAATAGCTAACATCTTACATACCATTTATATTTACACACAAATAAGGACAAATACATACATCAAAATTCAATAGGTTTATATATGAGCACCGTTCAAAAAAAAACAAGAAAAGAAATAGACAGCATTATAGACATAGGTATATATATATAATATATATGACATAGAATAATAATTAGTTTATTCATTAAATGGTGAAATAATATCGGAAAGATAAGGATTTTTCATAACACCGTCAATAAATTCATCTTTAGTTAATGATCGATCTTTATTAACATCAATTAATGAAAAAATATCTTCAACACATCGTTCTGGTGAATAATCTTCTTTTGATTTTCCTAATAAATCATACATTGCCGATATAACACCAATCATTTCTTTTCTATCAATTGAATTATTTTTATCTTTATCATATATTGAAAAAACATAATCAAGTTTTTGACGCATTGTACCTAATGATGTTATTGCATAACCACCTTTTTTTTTTTTATGAAAAAAAAAAATTTTTTCGTTTTATTTATTTCAATATTTTGTAACTTACAAAGAAATTCATTAAAATCAATTTTTCCATTTGAATCTCGATCAAATGCTGTAAAAACAAAATTAGCTATTTCTTTAACTTTATCATCAGATTCAACACGTAATGAACGATAAAATTTATAAAAATCTTTTCGACCCATTTTACCCGATGGACATGCCATTAAAAATTGTTTTCTATTAATAAATAAATAAATAAAATTTTATTTTCTAATTATTTTTTAGTTAATCAATTAAATTACCTCCATGCTATAATAACTTCACGTTCTAAACCTGTTTCTTCCATTAATTTATCCACAAGTTTTTGATCAAATGATGATTTTTGCACTTTATTACCCATATTTATTAGTTCTGAATAAAAAAA